AAAGGTTTAATTTCTCTGCTCAATAAACTGCATGTTTTGATGACCTATACACTGTTATTCGGGACATAAAGTGTGTGTCAGAAGCAGCCTGAATAAACCACTGTGACCACGAATAAAGAGGATTCAAAAGTCGTAGTCTTAATTTAATACAATATGATTGATAGCAAATTAAATGATCTGCTTAATTAGTTTGGAGGCATTAAAAACAATCCTGCAGGATCTGAGAGGTTTCCAAAAGCATCCCGTTTCTCTAAATGGCCAAATATCACTAACTGGTCACTAAATAAATTTGTGTTTGACATTTCTCAAAATGCTTATATATGCTATGTTTATTCACAAGATTAAATAAAATGGAAAGACGGAACGAACAAACAAAACGAACGGATAGATTTATTCGGATGGATGGATGGATGGATGGATGGATGGATGGATGGATGGATGGATGGATGGATGGATGGATGGATGGATGGATGGATGGATGGATGGATGGATGGATGGATGGATGGATGGATGGATGGATGGATGGATGGATGGATGGACAAATAGACTGCATAATGGATGGCTGGCTGGATGAATGGATAGATGGATGGAAGGACGGACAAACAGATTCATAGACTGGATGGATGGATGGATGGATGGATGGACAGACGGATGGATGGACAGATGGATGGATGGACAGACGGATGGATGGATGGATGGATAGATGGATGGATGAATGGATGGATGGACAAATAGACTGCATAATAGCTGGCTGGCTGGCTGGATGGATGGACGGATGGATGGATGAACAAATAGACTGTATAATGGATGGCTGGCTGGCTGGCTGGCTGGAAGGACGGACAAACAGATTCATAGACTGGATGGATGGATGGATGGATGGATGGACAGATGGATGGATGGACAGATGGATGGATGGACGGACGGACGGATGGATGGATGGATGGATGGATGGATGGATGGATGGATGGATGGATGGATGGATGGATGGACAAATAGACTGCATGATAGCTGGCTAGCTGGCTGGATGGATGGACGGATGGATGGATGAACAAACAGATTCAAAGACTGGACGGATGGTTGGATGGATGGATTGATGGATAAATGGACAAATAGACTGGATGGATAGAAACATACATAGATGAATGGACTGAAAGAATGATGAACAATTATAGAATGTATTGATGGATAAATAGATTGAGCAGATAGACCACTACTAGTCACAAAAAGGACAGGACCGGATTAAACCACTATTTACCCTAAAAACAACTTCCAAACTTCTCTTTTTCCCCTAAATCCTAAAACATTCTAAAACTCCTTTCATGTGTTCTTCAACAGAATCAGTGAAGGACCGCTCTGAGTCTGGACGGAGCTGTAGTTTTACACTAGTGTTGTTCTGTCCTCAACTGAATAATTCCTGAGGACGGCAGGATTGATTCCCCGTCAGCAGAAGGTGAAGCGCAGCAGTTGCACAGGAGTGTGACACTGGCATTTGGTCACCAGGCGAGGTCAGGGGGGGGGTGCATGTTTTTGCAGCTGACCAGACCTCCCATTTTCACATGAAAGACCTGCTAACACACACACACACACACACACACACACACACACACACACACACACATGGCCTCTGAACAGTCTTTATGGAGCACCAACAACAATCGCTTTCTATTCCTGGAGCTTCCCAGCCAGTCCGACCAGCCCTTTATCCAGCTCAGCCTGTCATGGCACTTCCTCTGAAGACAAAAGCTCCAGAGATTCACAAGCGTCCTCCATACTCATCCTTTTGAAGTTTAGAAAGATGTTACACACAAATCATTAACGGCTGCAGTTCCGCTCCACTCCTGCCAAATGGTTCAGCGCTTTTTTCTATTTGCAGGAACATAATGAAGCGTCATTTCTCCATGGATGGATGTGAGCTTGTTTGGGTATAGACATGTTCTACAAAACATAATGGGTTGTATTAACCCAATGTTGGGTCAAATATGAAAAAAGTTGGGTTAAAAAGTGTCATTTGTAATTAATTGGGAACCAAACTATTTACGTTTAGAATTGAAGTCATCTCATATCCTGATAACAATAAATATCATGATATTGTATTGTTTACAGTATGCAAATTTAATTAATGAATACATTGACCATATTGATCATATTTCTTTGTTTTTTTATGTTTGATTAGAGATGTAGATTTATAAAATAAATATTAATGAAATTCAAAACTGTTTTTTTAATATAATAATTAGAATGCCAACATAAATATATGGCAAATACTTTCTCTTTATGCTGTTATTCATGTATCTGTCTGCATCCCGTAGTGGCATATAATATAATATGAAAAAGTATTACGGTAAACAATGTATTTTGTGACATGACGAAATAGACAACAGAACATAATCTTAAACGATTGACGATTAATTTTGTCTATACAATATATATTATCATATTGCATATCCTTACCAACTTTGGATAATGTCCAAAACTGACCCAACGTTGGGTTATGGCAACCCAGCAGTTTTCTAGAGTGCAGTTTAACACATTAAATGCATGCATTAACCTTGAGCGCGCTTGTGTGCGATGCGCGCAGTAAAACACAGAACAGAGGAAACACAAGAAGGACGAGAGAGGCTTTCGCTGAGGACTCGGGAAATGAATACGGTTGACTTCTGACAAAACATCAACATCAGGGAAACACAAAACCGTCACTTTCCAATGAGGAATCCTCCATTTACTGCACTTTAATGAATGAAGGGTTTTTTCAACCAAACGTTGGGTCAAATATGGACAAAACAAACAATTGGGCTTAAAAACACAATTTAAGTTTAATTGAAAAAATTAACCCAATTTGGATTTGTCCAGGTGGTTCATTCCGCTGTGGGGACCCCAGATTAATAAAGGGACTAAGCCCAATAGAAAATGCATGAATGAATGAATGGATTTGTCAATATTTGACCAAACATTGTTTTTTAAGAGCGTATAGACCAAAAATATGCCTAAAAATCTAATAAAATGCAACAAAGTCCTGAATAATGTTCTGAATATTGAGCAAAATAAAGTTTCTGTAATAACCTATAGACTTAAACAAGAGTATGCACTCTAACAAATGCTGTTTTTAACCCAAATGGTCAATAATGGAAAAACCCAATGTTGAGTTAATTTCTTCAATTTAATTTAATATACATTTTTAACCCTTCTTGCCCATATTTGACCCAACATTCGATCGAAACCTTCACTTTAGAGTGTATAGACCAAACATATTATTAAAAATCAAGCAAAATGCTGTTTTGAACATTATAATGGCAGAATATTCAGCAAAAAACTATGAGTTTCTGTAATAATTTATAGACTTAAACAAGAGTATGCACTCTAAAAATTGGTGGGTTGTTTTAAACCAAGTGGCTAATTATGGACAAAAACCAATGTTGGGTTGATTTCTTTAATTAAACCTAAATTACACTTTTTAACCCAACTTGCCATTTTTTGACCTAATGATGGTTTATTACAACCCAGCAGTTTTATTATATTTCATAACTGTATTTTTAATAATTTTTATTTTAAATAATAAGGATTACAAGATTCAAATTGAGCTTAGTTACAATTGGTTTTAATTCATTTCTGCACGTATTCATTATATTCAATCCTACACATTTCTCTTTACTGCAAACATGATAAGAAAATACATGCTATATATAGCACACTGCACTAATTTCCAATTATGCTTCAGTACTAAAGTAGCGTATCAAAGTATTAATTTAGTTTTTTTTTATTATTATTAATGAAAATGTGGGAGTGAAATGTGCTTAATTGTGATAAAAACTCAAAATCCTACTCAACTCAATTATCTACCAGCAATTTATGAGCTCATTCCTTACAATCTTCCACAACGGAGTCTACATTTGAGCAGATTTGGATTACTTTTTCCTCTTACTACAACAGCAAGATGTTTTAGCTGTTTTGCTTCTGAGACGCTTTGCAAAACTGTCCAGACTATTTTTCTGAAGAAAACTTGATGAAACCTGATTTCAACACCTCTTTATTAAACTGTCACCCACTAAACATCCAAATGAGGATGACGAATAAAACAAGCTCAAAACATGAAACCTGAACAATTTTATAGCTTTTGTAGCATTACACGAAGAAAACCAGACTCTTAATCATCATTTATGAACAATAAAGCTGAATAAATGACCAAATCAAGCACCCGCTGTCAGATTTTCTTGAGTAAACATCTTATAAAGTAAGTCTTTTAAAAAGCAGGGTTGTTGGAACTTAACTTTGGGACAAATATGGACAAACACAACAGTTAAAAATGGTGGGGTTTGTCTGTATTTGACCGAACTTTACAACAACCTAGCATTTTTAGATTGTTCATATCATTATCTGCCAATAAGTACTAGTTTTATAGATCAATAATCAGCAAAAGATTAATAAAATTAGTTTCATAATCAGTGTCATGTTCAAAATCTCTTTAAATAAAAACGTAAATATAATTTAAATGGTATTAAATAACAATAATACCCAAATAACAATAATAAAAAGTATTAAATGACAATAATACCCAAATAACATTAATAAATAGTATTAAATAACAATGAAACCCAAATAACAATAGTAAATAGTATTAAATAATACAATAATAATAGCATACAATAACAATAACATTTAAAAAAATCGTACGTTTAATCAAATGTTAACAAACCCAACGGTAGATTCAAATTTAAAATTTAAATTTCTGTTTAACACAACCGTTAAAACAACCGCCATTTATGAAACGTTCAGTTACGACAACCTATCAATGTTTTAGAGTATGATAAATATTATTAGTAGTACTAAAAATAATACTAAATTAAAGATTAATCCGAGCACATAAATCGCATTCCACATGCTGTTACAAATAATTCACATGATCTGAATAGAGTAAACAGAGCAAAAGTTGCTTTTTTCCCCACAGAGACTGTTAGTACAGCACTAAACTTTGCTGTATTGTAATATTTTCTGATTATTATTACCTGTAAATGTCTGAAGGCTGCAGAAATGCGCGTGATGTGCAGGCTGAGGCACCGGGACGCGCATCTTGCGCGCTGCACGCTCCCGCTGAGGGACTCGTCTGCTTTCCTGGCGTCCAGAGTCGCGGAGCTCCAGAACATTATAAGAATAATCCACAGGGAGGAGGGGGACATTATAAGCCTCTGTCTCTCTGCTGCTTCTCAGAGTGTTTTGTGTGCTGCTGTCAGCGCCGCAGCCGCAGTCAATATGAGCGCAGCTCTCGCGGACGCTGGAGAAACTTTCCCGCTGCAGGGGCGGAGTCAGTGAAAGCTACTGGTGGAGCTCAGCGCAAGCCCCGCCCCCTGAGAGCAGGTAGATGCGCGCAAAAAGCTTTTAATTTATTTAGTTGTTTGTTAATGTTTTGTTATTGTTTCAAACTGAACTTGCAGACAAAATGGTACTCTTACAATATTGAAATATGATTAATGTCATCTCAAGGTTGAGTTACAATATAGGCTAACACAATAAACATCTACCAAGAATGAAAAAGGAGGGAACAATTTTGTAAATAAACTACAACAAAATAATACAAATAAAGAGATTAATTAATTAATCAATTAATAAGAGACTTTGAAAATTAAAATAGTTTATAAAAATCCAGAAATGTCTTTTATGCAGAGAAATCTCAGGTGTTTACAGAAGTTAATATCCAAGCACGTCTTCATAGACGTTCACATTGTTGCTGCAGATGAAATATAACATGGAAAATATGAGATAAATATTTTACAGTTGGCTAGATATAAATTAATAGTCTAAAACACATTTACTGACACTTCTCCACATGATTGTTCAACACAATCTCACGGCAATTCGTAGCTTTTTGATTTAGTGGCTAATTCGTATGAATTTGTACGATCTAATTCGTACAATTTAGTACGACTTCCTCATCCCCCAATGACGGTTGGGTTTAGGGGTGGGGTTAGGTGCCACGCCTCCTTTTTAAAATCGTACAATTTCGTACGACTGAACTGAATTAGCCACTAAACTGGCAAATTGTAAAATATGTTTTCTCGTGAGATCAGGCTGGAGTGTTGGTCTCGCACCTCCGCCATCTTTATGGTTTGTTTACACTTTTTTACCCATGTTTGTTCTAATCCAATTCACATCCAGTATTGTAATTGTAATATTGTAATTCATATAATATTGGCCATGTATTTTGGGTGATATTTGCGGTTGAAGTATAGATGGTTCTTCACTTCAAATTATACTCATTGGTGGAAAGAGTCAAGTAAAAGTGCCATTACTTGCTTAAAAATGTAGTGCAGTAGAGCAAAGTTATATGTTGTTAATATTACTCAAAGGATGAGTAAAAAGACCCTTTGAGTAATATTAGACCTTTCAAAAAAAATAGACCTTTCAAAAGTACTCATGAGTAGTGAGTAGTGAATATTAAGCTGAATAAAGCTGATGCGTTTACATGTAATTTGTGGGTGTGTGTAAACGTAACATTCTGTAGTGCGTTTAGTTATTGCTTAGCAGACACACAACGCTGTCAGACATTAATATTAGGTTAGAGTTAGGTTGTGATGTCAGGTGACCAAAATTCAGTGTCTATCCAGCATCTGAGGATAACGTTATTTTGATGTCCAATAATGAGGTCAAATAACGTTGATAATTGGTTGATTTTAAGTTGTATTGGAAAGTGACCAAAATCCAACATGAAGCAACATCTTAAACCAACATCATATTGACATCAAATATTGACATTGATTCATCAGGTGTGGCAACCAAAATCTTATGCTGTGTTCACACCAGATGTGGAACTCGCGGATAAATCGAGCTATTCGCGCGTAAATTGCCGCGTGAACATTTGAGTTTACTCGCTTCATTTGCGCGTCAAATTCACTTCAATTGCATGTCAAATTCACTTCAGAACAGACGCGAATTTGCGTGATGGGCAGGGCTTCTGTCTGCCCCGTGACTCTAGCTGCATAGCTAAATGGCTAACATGGATTTTGTTAAGAAAATAACAGTGTTTATGTGCTTTATGGAGACTGAAAAACAGCGTCGATACGTTTAGGGTCCTGTATGAGTCCACTGCATCCTTTCAGAGGTGCATCCAGCTCTGTGAGCTCATAAACTCCTCCAGAAACTGAACCTGGATGACGGAGACTTTCAGCGGTGCCTCTGACTGAGCCCAGCCCAGTTTGATGACTTGTTGTCGGTGTCGCCTGGAGGATTTGCCCCGGGACTCCATCAACAGGTTCTACGTCACAATCACGCCCCCACAAGAGCAAGCTTCTGAATGGTTAACGTGACGCGAATGTACGCTGAAGTTCAGATTTTCGAACTCAAAAGATTCGCGCGAAATGCTCGTTAAGCGCGTCAAACGCGCAAATGCTCAATTCGCCTCGCGCGTATCGCGCTATTCGCACCACACAATTCGCGTCATTCGCTCCGCACCATTCGCGCGTTTCGCGCCGCAGGATGTCTATTCGCGCGTTTGCATTGACTTAACATGTAAATCACTCGTGCTTGACGCGCATTCTGCGTCTGGTGTGAACGCAGCATCATAGACGTCATAGTGGAAACGTCCCCACAACGTCAAGCTGGAACATCATTAAAGGCTGATTTTAGGTTGGATGTTGGACATTGATGATGACCTGACGTTGGGTTCTGACGATAACCCGATTTTCATTTCCAAACAAAATGCAACATCCCCTCGACGTTGGTGTAGAGCGTCAATCTGACGTCATGTTGACGTCTTGTGCCTGTTGGGTGTTTAAGGCCATTTCAGTCATCATACAGTAAACATCCGTCATCTTCTCATCAGTGACCTGCATCTTCAGTCTCTGGGTCAATGAGTGTAAAGATTTGGACATCTTCTTTTAGACACTTTTAATGCTTCCAGTTTGCTGTGATTATACATCGTCGACATGCGGCAAAGGTGAATTGGGTAGGCTAAATTGTCTGTAGTTTATCAGTGTGTGTGTGAATGTGTGTGTGGATGTTTCCCAGAGATGGGTTGCGGCTGGAATGGCATCCGCTGCGTAAAAACTTGCTGGATAAGTTGGCGGTTCATTTCGCTGTGGCGACCCCGGATTAATAAAGGGACTAAGCCGACAAGAAAATGAATGAATGATAAAGTTATTCCAAAACTTTTCCGGATATTTACTGGTATCACTGTGTGAAAGAGGCTAATGTCTTGAGGTAGTTCATTATGATGCAATTTACCTTCTACAGGAATCACAGGACTGAATTTCCTAATCCCCATAGACAGGAAAAGTAAAGTGGTGTTTGCAGGTTGAAGGAAAGTATTGTAGTGAAAGTACCGATACAGCACTAAAAATGGACTCAAGGGAAAGTAAAAGTTCACATCTTTAAAACTACTTAATAAATTAAAATTCCTGACAAAAAACTGCTCAAATACAGTAGTTTAAGTATTTGTAATTAGTTACTTTACACCATTGATTATACTACATATCAAATTATAGGAAATAGAAGACCATCCGGGAACTTTTGGTTTTCGCTCTTTCCAACATACTATGGTTTGGGACATGCTGAATTTATTTTTGGTTACTATTTAGGACAAATAGTAGGCTATGCAAATTGGGATGCAGCATATGAGAATATTGTGATATACAGTCAACCAATTTGGCCAAAAAAAATGCAAAACTGCACCAAAATAAACAACATTTGAAAATATGTTTTATTTAAGGTCCCGTGAAATCAAAATAAAGTCTTTTTAGATGTCATTGTAAAAGAGGCCAGCTAGTGAAGAGATGTGCAGGTAAACCTCACTCCTCTGAACACGAGAAAGGTGCTCTAGTGACAGATGCTAGAGGCCATGATCTTTAGCCTTCTTGTTAGATCAACTGACTCCCATGCGGAGAGTCGCCGGTTCAATCCCAGCTCAGAGCGGGCTTGGTAGTATAGGACTGGCAGAGTTACATTGGTGCTGTGACCCGGATGTGAGTGAGATTTAAGAGGGTTGAGTGTAACAGAGGCCAGCTAGTGAAGTGCTATGCAGGTAAACCTCACTCCTCTGAACCCGAGAAAGGTGCTCTAGTGACAGACGCTAGAGGCCATGGTCTTTAGACTCCTTGTTAGAGCAGTCTACTCCCATGCGGAGAGTTGCCGGTTCGATCCCAGTTTGGAGCAGGATTGGTAGCGTAGGACCTGTGGTGATACATTGGTGCCGTGACCCGGATATGAGTGAGGTTTAGAGGGGTGAGTGAAACAGAGGCCAGCTAGTGAAGTGCTATGCAGGTAAACCTCACTCCTCTGAACCCAAGACAGACACTAGAGGCAATGGCCTTTAGTCTCCTTGTTAGAGCAACCAACTCTCATGAGGAGAGTCGCCGGTTCGATCCCAGCTTGGAGCAGGTTTGGTTGCATACCTGCCAACAGTCCTGTTTTTCCCGGGAGTCTCCGATATTTCAGACCCATTTCCCGTTACCTTCATGTTGTGTTATTTCTCCTCGAAAACTCCTGTAATTTCTCTCTGGGAGCTGGGAGCGGGTTGGGTAGGGAAGGACATTACATTACCATCTGTATGATGGTTTTTATGGTATCTATAATCTAGTGTTTCCAAAACAGTGACACAATTTATATTAAGAAGGCATAAACCTGATATAAACATGTCAAGTGTGCAGTTTGTCTCTTCCGCCTAAATGAATCAATGATTTTTTTGTCGTCGCCTCATACTTTAGATCAGGGGTCTCAAACTCGCGGCCCGCGGGCCATTTACGGCCCTCAGTGCAATATTTTGTGGCCCGCGCCGACCGCTGTACACTGACAGAATCAGCGGAGCGGGGAGAGCGAGCGCTTCCCGCTCCGCTGATTCTATCCGTACACAGCGGTCACTGGCATTCCCCGCCCGTCGTGTAAACAAAGGAGCGGGGATGCCGGTGACGTCACCACGCACCCCGCCCCTTTGTTAGACGCTGTGACGGGCGGGAAGAACCAAGGTAAGCTGTTCCCGCCCCTGCCTGCCACTTAGCTACAGCCTGCATGTTACAGAGCTCGAAATTGCGACCATTTTGGTCGCATATGCGCCCGAAAATTAATCTATGCGACCTCATAATATATATGGGAGCATTAGTGCGACTGCAGATAATGGTTGTAGTGCGACCTGTTTTGATTTTTTGTAAAAACGTGCTGAATGTCATTCACTCAAGGTATTCCGCTGTCAGATGACAGGGAAGGAGCTTTTATGACCACGGGAAATGCAAACGGCAGAAGAGTAAAAACTTAAAGCACACAGGTTTAAAATTGAGGTGCAGATGAAAGCGATC